TTCTTAAAGTATATCAAATAAAACAATTTCTCAAATGGCCATTTTTTAAATTAAAGCACATTAATTATAAAAAGATCTTTAACACTGATCCTCTCTCAGATTTAAACAAAAGAGAAAAGTCATTCCAAAAGTTCAAAACAGATAATGCACTAACACAAGTTGGATTCAAATTACATTTTTTAATTCTTATTAAAATGATTTCAAACATTTTTCTACCTGAAACAGCTTCTGAGAGTGTGAATGCATTACAACCAGACAACAGGAAGACACACACAGTTAGCAGCAGCTGTTTGATATGGTAAACTGTGGCTAACAGGAGATAAAATTTGGATTTGTCCAAAGCCTCAGCAATAATTTAAGTCCCGATGAGTTCTTGAACACTAGCTTGTTGTTAGCGTTTTAGCAGACGGACTTTGTGCTGCATTCAGGAGGGAACAGACATTACATGTTCTCAAATTGTGCGTAGTTGTTCTGACCTTTTATGTAAAGTCTGTGTGTAACATACATGGTTAAAATAATATTAATAATTCTTAAATAACTGGTTGTTTTTCAGCACGTAGTATTCTAATTATTGTTCTAGTTAGAAAGTTGTTTTTTCCGACGCCACCTGAATGTTGCTTGGGTCGTGCCGGACGGGAAGCAGCTTGACCAAAACGAATAAAAGTAAAGACGCATTCTCATCGCCGCGTTGACAAATGTACATATATTATCGGTTCTGTTTGTTGTGATATCGGACTGATAAGTATGACATCATAATTTCCTGATATTGGGCCGATAACTATCGTGCAGCCCTAGAATTATTTAATGTTGGAACAATCAACCTAAAAGGCAACATCTGGTCGATAAGAAACACCTGTCAGTCACATGTTCCAATAGTTTTGCTCACTTGGAAAATAGGTGGGTTCAAACAAAGGGTGTTGTGTTCTGAGTTGTTTTACATATCTACATGTAAATTTCAGGAAATAAAAGCTGACATTCTGAACTCTTGTCTCATGCTCATCTTTTAATCTTAAACTCAAATGTCTTCAGTGAGCAACAAAAACCAGAGAGTTTGACTTGCTGTTCCAGTACTTTTGGAGGGGACTGTTTGAAGGTTTGAGTTGTTTTAAAGCAACAGTACAACTGTTTGCTATGCGTCATCTGGCAACCCTGTACTGCTACAGAGGATCCATGTAAACATGTTTTTCCCCATAAACACTGAAACAATGGTATATTTCCAGAGACTGTTCTTGTGTTAACAGTGCCTAAATGTAACACGTGATTAAAATTGAATACCTTCAGGATATCACACTCATCTTGCATATTTGTTTGTAGACCAACCTAATTACATGAAAATAAAACAGCTTGTGTTGTTTTATATTGACATGTTATTGTCTTAATGTTTTCCCCCACAGTTTGTCACGCGGAACTGAATGCCATCATGAACAAGAACAGTGCTGATGTGAAAGGATGCAGCATGTACGTGGCTTTGTTCCCATGTAACGAGTGTGCCAAGCTCATCATCCAGGCAGGTTGGTGTTGATGGCAGCCACATGAAGGACAGGGTACAGGGAACACAATCACTACCTTAACTTAAAAGGTTTTATGTGCAAAGTGTTAGGATTTTTGTGTCAATACTGATTCAGCATTCACTGTGTGAAARATTTTTTCACCATCACTCAAGTTTGTGAGAATGACGTTCCCATATTCCTTCAATTCCAGCCGATTTCAGTGAAGTCAAAATGGGATGTCACTGGAGATCTGTGGTTCTCAAACTGGTACAAGTACCACTGGTGGTACTCAGGGATTCATCTTGTCGTATCGACCTTTTACAAGTTGAATGAGCTACCTGCCATGAACAAAACTCTGATGGAGCTCAAGAAAACATTACAAATAAGCAGTTTAATCAAAATCCAAACTTTTTTTCTGCGTTTCTGTGAGAATGACAATGATCTGATGGGCTAGTTGCCTCTTCATCAGGACCTGAGATGTTTCTTTAAACTAAACTCATGTTTGTTAATTTGATATATTTCTTACTGGCTTTTTCCAGGTCTGAAGGAAGTGGTGTATCTGTCTGACAAGTACCATGATACTCCGGAGATGACTGCTTCCAGAAGGCTGCTCAGCATGGCAGGAATACAGTTCAGGTAGCACCTAAATTTTTTGTTTCCGCTCTCAGAGGAGTAAGACACTTTTTCCTTCTCTCCTGCCCTTCCTTATCTTTCCCTGCTTTACTGCTTGGAGCCTTCTCTACATTTTCATCTGAAATAAGAAATTATGGATATTTTTATGGATTTGGTTAGCTGATCTCTCAATAAAATTTTTGGAACAAAGTTTTTTTCTTCTTCCATGGGAGGACATGTCAAAGGTGGGACCTCTGTTCTTCTCTGTTCTGGATTTATGTCTGGACTTCGATCACTGGATTCTACAGATTGGCTTGGTGGTCTCCTGGTGTTCTACAAAACAGCGTCGGTGGCTTTTCATCTCCTGGCTGACTGACCAACTCGATGGATGGCCGTATTCTATCAGAACTCGGACATTTTGCCTTGAGCAAGCTGGACTCGGCCTGCAAGCGGTTCTATTGAGGGTCGCGGGCCAGCTGTGGTCCCTGGACTTTGCTGGCCTGGTGGAATTGATCTTGGAGGAAGCTGATAGATTCGGCTCAGCGGAATTTGTCCACACCATTTGCCTGAGTGAAATCGCCACCTTGAGATGCACCAGCTGACATTAAAGCAGATGGAAAATTGTTGTTGTCTGCCTGAATCTTCTTTTCCCGAAACAACTGATTACAGAATCTGGATCTCCCCGACAACGGCCTTGATCTGTTGACTAAATTCTTCCTAGCTGGATGTGTCGACAAGGCTCTGCCCCCCACCTTCCCCCCCTCCTCTCACCCGTCTAATCTGTTTTCCAGAGCAGGCTGAAAGCTGCGCAGAAATTAACATTTTCCATCAATATTCTGAACTTTGGCTGCGCTGGTTTTGGGGACTGGATTCTTCAGGCCCCCCTAAACTCACTTACTCCTCTGGCTAATAAACTTGCTCTATGCAGAGGTTTTTTTCATAAACACCATAGTGTGTCACAGTGTTGATATAATATGATGTTTTTGCTTTTTTCCGCATCTTCCCTTCCCTTGTGTTTTTCAGTTTTTCTTTGTTTCTAAGTTGGCGCCACGGTAGACAGCCTGTTACTGCAACTCCATTGTTTTGAGCTGCTATAATGTTCAAATTTCCCCACTGTGGGATCAATAAAGTTCTATGTTATCTTATTAATATCAACTACTGATGAAGGTGGAGTGATAAATGTGACTATTTGTGGTGTTTTTACACCACTTTCATCTTTCAAAGTGCTCTCTGTAAAGCATCTGGGCTATACAATAAACTTTGCTTGCCTTTCATAACTGTAGAAGTTTTTACACTGTGTTTTCTTTGGAGATGGATTGGTAAAATATTTACTTAAAGAACAGTGTTTTAAGCTAACAAACTAAAAATATTAAAAGACAAAACTTAATTCTCCTACAAACACATGACTTGAGCAGAACTGAACAGATCCAAACCAAATAGTAAGTAAGTAAAGTTTTGTTTATAAAGTGCCTTTCACAGAAATATATTCACAAGGTGCTGTACAATCATTAACAATGTAAAATGGTGGAACGATAAAATGAAACAGAATAAAACATGATAAAACATAAGCAACGTAATGAAACATCAAATCAAGATTAAATTCTAAAATTGTAACTCAGACACATGGTCAATGCAGAGCAAAATAAACAAAGATACACAAAACAGAGAATAGGGGACAGAAAAATATGCCGCATGTTCAATAATAGAAAAACACATAGTTGGCGAGCATTCCCTATGGAGGTAGGCTGGCATTAATGGTGAATGGATTAGCTAAACGCTTGAGAGAAAAAGTGGGTTTTTAGGTGTTTCTTGAAGGAGACAATGTTATCAAGGGAGCGCAGATTAACAGGGAGTTTGTTCCAGAGCCTGGGGGCCACAGAGGAGAAGGCATGGTCACCACGGGTCTTAAAGCGAGTGATGGGAACCATAAGGAGATGTTGATCCTGTGAGCGGAGGTCCCGTCTGGGGTTGTAAGGGGAAATGAGACTTTTAATGTATTCTGGGGCTTGGCCATGAAGAGCTCTGAAAGTGAGGACCAGGATTTTGAACCGGATTCTGAATTGAACCGGAAGCCATTGAAGTTCTGCTAGGATCGGGGAGATGTGGGTAAATTTGGAGGTTRGAGTTAGGAGTCTCGKTGCCGAGTTTTGGACAAGCTGAAGGCGATTTAACTGTYTCTGGTTTAGGCAGGTGAACAAGTTATTACAATAGTCTATGCAGGTAGAAATGAAGGCATGAATTACCATTTCCAAGTCTGAAGTGGACAGCAGAAGCCGGAGTTTAGAGATATTACGGAGCTGAAAGTAGCTTGTGGAAACCAGATTCTTTGTGTTTATCTAGAGACAGATCTGAGTCAAGATTTACTCCCAGGTTGCGCACATTCTGCTTGACAGTTAAACTCAAGGACCCGAGATGTTCTTTTATCTTAGGGGTTATATTATCAAGGTAGTAGAGTAAATAAAGCAAATAGAGTAGAACCGTGCTCATGAAGCAAGGTCAGTTAGCCAATAAACAGTTTAAAATTACATGTATCCTGTATGCTTTCTGAGAGAGTTACGTCCTTACACCAAGGATCATTTGAACTAACTCTGTAACCTTGAGCTGAGGCTACACTGCATAGAGATCAAAAATTGACGCCACATGCCTTTACAGCTGGTGGCGGTAATTAAGCTATTTGCCAACCATTACACATAATAAAAGATCCCAAAAAGATATGCAACACAGTAATGGAGGGCATGGCAGCATTGTTATTGCGATGCAAGCAGTGACGCCATTCCTAATGTCAGTGACTGACAGTCTTATGATGTTGCGTTTTCAGGCCAGCACGGTACAGTTGGAACCACAGCAAAATATGTTCTGAAAATTGTCTGGTTCCATGAATCCTTGCTAGTGGAAAAGCCTTGGAACCGTGGAGAACCAAGTTGAACCGTACTTTAGAGGTGCTAGTGGAAAAGGGCCACTAGAGACCCCTTTGAACTACTGAAGCCACTGCCTGGCAATGAGCAGTCAAAGAAAATGAATTCTTGGGGACCCCTTCATGAATATCAAGAAGTTAAGAACAGTGTGTCTAACCTTATGTCCTTCATTCCAGGACCACAAAGCTTTGATTAAAGTTCAGTTCCTTTTTTTGGGAGATCAATGGGTCCACTTACGATGGACCCCACTCATATAGGTTCTTCATCCATCCCCACTCACCAAACCAGAAAACTCAGCCACGGTAAAGGACTGGCTTTTCCTGCCAAGACCCCAATTTCTGCCTTCTCAGAGGTGGTCATCAGAATTAGAATACTTTATTGATCCCGAGGGAAAGTACAGGTATTACAGCTGCAACCATTCAGATCACAGAAATGTGAAACGAAAGAAATAAGCACACTAGATTAAAAACAAGTATAAACACCCAGGATTACAAAATAACACACTTGTTTACACATAAACAATGTACAATAAAAGTAATACAAATGTTAAGAAAACGTGTACAGCGTGGTATATTGCACATTCGCTGAGTGTCATGGGTAAAATACAGTAAATTAAATATAAAACAAACACTAAAAATAAAAATGTACAGATGATCTAGTGTCATGTTTCGGGCGGAGTTATAGAGTTTAATGGACTCTGGTAGGAACGACCTCCTGTGGTGCTCAGTGGTGCATTTAGGAGCAATGAGTCTTGCACTGAATGTGCTTCTGTGACTCCTAACAGTGTTGTAGAGAGGATGATAACTTTTGTCCATGATTCCCTGCAGCTTTACCAGCATCCTCCTCTCAGAAACTGAAGTCAAGAGTCCATCTCTACTCCCACAACACCTRCTGCTTTACTAATCAGCTTGTTGGCATCCGCCCTCCTCAGTCTGCTGCCCCAGTATGCAACAGCATAGAGGATGGCACTCACCACCACAGACTGAGAAGATCCTGATCATTGTCTGGGAGATGTTAAAGGACCTCAGACTTCTCAGGAGGTAGAGACGACTTTGGCCTTTCCTGTAGACGACCTCTGTGTTTTTGACCCAGTCCAGTTTATTGTCAGTGTGTACCCCCAAATATTTATAGTCTTCCACTGTGTCTACGTTGACCCCTCTGATGGACACAGGGGTCCCTGGAGTCTTGTTCCTCCTCAGGTCCACCACCAACTCCTTAGTCTTTGTCACATTGAGCTGTAGGTGGTTCTGCTCGCACCAGGAGACAGTCCTTCACTGTCGCTCTGGAGGGTGCATGGGAGTTCGTCCAACCAGTCTACATGTGTTTTGTGGACTTGGAGAAGGCATTCGACAGTGTCCCTAAGGGACTCCAGTGCCGGGTACTCCAGGAGTATGGGGTACCAGGCCCATTGATATGGGCTGTTAGGTCCCTGTACGACTGGTGCCAGAGCTTGGTCCGCATTGCCTGTAGTAAGTCGGACTCTTTTCCAGTGAGAGTTAGACTCCACCAAGGTTGCTCTTTGTCACCGATTCTGTTCATAACTTTTATGGACAGAATTTCTAGGAGCAGCCAAGGTGTTGAGGGGATCCTTTAAGGTGACCTTAGGATCACATCTCTGCTTTTTGTGGATGATATGGTCCTATTGGCTTCATCAGATCCTAATCTCCAGCTCTCACTGGAGCGGTTCGCAGCCGAGATAGGGATCAGTGCCTCCAAATCCAAGACCATGGTCTTGAGCCGGAAAATGGTAGCGTGCCGCCTCCAGGTTGGGGAGGAGGTCCTGCTCCAAGTGGAGGCATTTAAGTGTCTCGGGGTCTTGTTCACGAATGTTGGAAGAATGGAGCGGGAGATCGACAGGCGGGTTGGTGCTGCGTCTGCAGTGTTGCGGGCACTGTACCGGTCTGTCATGGTGAAGAGAGCTGAGCCAGAAGGTGAAGCTCAATTTACTGGTCGGTCTACGTTCCTACCCTCATCTATGGTCACGAGCTTTGGGTAGTGACTGAAAGAAGGAGATCACAGATACAAGCAGCTGAAATGAGTTTCCTCTGCAGGGTGTCTGGGCTCTCCCTTAGAGATAGGCTYAGAAACTCAGTCATCCAGGAGGGACTCAGAGTAGAGCTGCTGCTCCTTCACATCCAGAGGAGCCAGTTGAGGTGGTTCATCTGGTTAYGATGCCTCCTGGATGCCTCCCTGGTGAGGTGTTCTGCACATGTCCCACTGGGAGGAGACGCAGAGGAAGACCCAGGACACGCTGGAGGGACTATGTTTCTCAGCTGGCCTGGGAACACCTTGGTATTCCCCCAGAGGAGCTGGTCCAAGTGGCTGGAGAGAAGGAAGTCTGGGTCTCTCTGCTTCGACTGCTGCCCCCGCGACCCGATTCCGGATAAGCAGCAGAAGACGGACGGACGGGCCCTGTCTATGTTGCCTTCCATTCCTCTGATGTTGCTGGACCCAAAGCCGGTGATTGTCCTCACTCCACTCCAGACCTCTCATGCTGTTACGCTGGAGTTTACACTCCAGTTTTCTTTRGTAACTGTTCTTTGTTTCTCTGTTCATCTGTAGTTCCCTCTGAYTGGTTCTCACCTCCTCCCTGTCTCCTGCTCTGAAGGCTGCCTTTTTGTCATTCATGAGTATTTTGTTGTCCTTTTTTTTATCCACTGCTTGTTGTTAGAGTAGCATTTAACAACTTTATTGGGAACAGTGGCGTCAACACAGAACTTGATGTAGTCTATATGCACTCTGTGAGTCTGTGTCATGTTGGCCAGATTTAAGAGATCCTCAAAGTGTTTCTTCCACAGTCCAACAATTTCCCTACCTGGGTCACCAGGCCCCCACACAAATCAGGCTCAGCTCAGGACAGGACCTGCTTTTCTTTACTGACTGTTTTCCAGAAACTCCTTTTTTAGGTTAACCAAAAGTCATGGACTCCATTTATGATGTCCACTATTGACATAAGAAAATGATCTGATTTAAGGGGTAAACCTGCATCATTGTCTCACCATATGTTTTTATTTTTGTGTTTCTCAACTGTTAATCTTTTTATTTTCTCCTTGTTTTTGGTAGGCAGTTCAAGCCCAAGAGGACTGAGATTATCATCGACTTCAATTCCATTAACGACCCTGGAATCATGGACAACACAACTAAGTAAAAAAAAAAACATTCAAACCTACAAAACCAAATGGAAGGAAGACAAACGTTGAAAAGATCCAAGTTGCCTCCTATTATGGTGTTCTTCACGCTGTACTTTGAAGAAAATTAGGAGAAAACCTTGATGTTTTTATAAATTTTTTTCACTTTTCAGTTGACCTTCCTTTGGGTTTAGAAAAGGACCAGGCTTCTCTTGCTCATTCCTGGGTGCTACCATATTTGTGTAAGTGACTGTTTTAAAGAACTGATTTGGAGCTAATTTTATTTATAATAGAAATAAATGTTAAAGTTGAAGTTCTGATTTTAAAGTCTAGGCCCATCATTCCTGTAGGCAAAAAGACATTTTCTTTTTAAATTATTTTTAAGTCATTCTATTTTGTATTCTATATAACGGATTTAGAAATTTCTCCCTGCAATGTGTGTACATTTTTAATTTGCTGATGGTATTTTGAAGCACATTAATACATACAAATGTTAAACATTTGCTTTTTTGAATCCGTTACTGAAAGCTAATTGGTTACTTATTGACTGTACTGTAGTTTTATTTACATTTATACTAGGTAACTCTTCTGATTTTTTTATCTTAAAGCATGTTTGATGTCTTTCTTTTTAATTTTTTTCCTTTTTTTAGGTCAATAAAAGTTGGATCACACAATCTGAGGCCAGCTGTTGTCATTTTTTAGGCGAAATTAAACAGGTCGCAGAGTTAATTTAATGTAAAAATTAAACTCAACCCCGTTTAAATGAAAAACTAAGACTCCATTAAATGTTTTAATGATTTAATAAGATCTGATTAACACCTAAACCATTATGGCTGCTGACATTTAAAAAAACCTGTTGAAGTGAAAGTGGTTTAGTGTGTGTCCATACAATGACCAGGTTTATTTTATGCTTCTGACCATGTGAGATACATCTATAGGGTAGAGAAGCTATTTAAACACCTGGAGATCTGTTACATAATGGATGTCTTGTTCAAGAACATCGCAGCGTATGGACATGGCAGGAATCAAACCTGATACTTTCTAGTCCTAAGTCTCTTGTTGCAATGACACTTGGGAGAGAGTGGAATAGTTCAACCAGCAGCTAAAGCAGAAAAGTTAAGATGAGCAACTTTACTAAAGAGGATTGATTGATGGCCATAACATCTCCACTTCTGCAGCTGCTGGTCTGCACAAGTTACAAACTGTTCTTTATCCATGTGTTCACTGCTGAAAGGCTCAAAGCATCAGAACTACACCTGATACTGTCATGTCCCTGGCAAACACTGTTCCTGACTAAAACCCTCACATGGAGATACTAACCTTGATGGCAGAAAAATGTTCCATACCACTACTTTAAGACTGAGACATGAATGTAAGGCCAGGTTTAACGCAGTAAAAATAAACATTAAAGAAAAGCAAAAACCCTGATCACTTTGAACTTTCATTTAGAAAGCAGGTTCCATGAATGGAATACAAAATCATTACAAAAAGACACTTGTAACAGTTTGAATTAATCCATTTTTATTTGCACTTTTTTTGTATTCAAACATAAATCTATAATGTCTGAAGATGAAATGACAAGCTTCCTCTATTTCTGACTGTCAGATGCATTATTTATATATCAGTAGCCTGAAATGAGACATTAATGTAAATGCTGCATTACAATAAAGCCCAAAAGGACTCCTCACTGTTTGTATTTGGACTTTGGGACAAACAGCAATGATAGACCTATATTAGTTGACCTTAAGGTCCTCATATGCTCATCAGGTGGGGCTTACATTCCAATACACTGCAAAAAATGTCCATCTTACCAAGTTTTAAACTCTTATATCAGACAAAAAGTCTTTTTGATCTTGTTTTCAGACTGATTTACTAAACAAGAACTGATTGTGTAAGAATAATCATCTTGTTTTCAGAATGTGTAAGATTATTTGTCTTGTTAGTCTGAAAATTTGACTCAAATTAAGTCAAAATTTCTGCCAGTGGAGTAAGAAAATTTTACTTGGTAAGATTCTTGAAATAAGAAAAAATTGAGTCAAATCAAGTATTTCAAGAATCTTACAATCTTACACATTCTGAAAACAAGATGATTATTCTTACACAATCAGTTCTTGTTTAGTAAATCAGTCTGAAAACAAGATCAAAAAGACTTTTTGGCTGACATAAGYTTTTAAAACTTGGTTAGATGGACAGTTTTTGCAGTGTATATTCCTAATTTTCCTGTATCTAACAGTATTTTTGATTGTGCAAAGACGAGAATGACACATGCAGGACAGATTTAATTCAATTCAGTATATTTATATAGCACCAAGTCACAACATGTGTTGTCTCAGGACACTGTACATAAAAAGAACAATGTAAAGAAGAAAGCAGCAGATTGTGTTGAACCACTTCATCACAGTCTCCCATCCTGAGCAAGCGGTGGAGAGGAAAAACTCCCTGCTAATCAGGAAGAAACCTCCAGCAGAACCAGGCTCAGGACAGGAGACCATCTGCCTCGACCGGCTGGTTGGAGGACAGGAAAGAGACAGACAAACACAGAAGYACTGGTCCAGGTGCACCTTCTTCTGGAAGAGACAAAGAAAAAACATGTTATTGCTAGAAATAATTACAATAAACTAGAAAGTGTGAACCACTCTAATGAGAGCTATCCTGGCACAATGACACCAACAGGACCACATCATCTGCAAATAGCAGATCTTTAACTGACTAACTAACTAAACCAGAGAGTAAATCTGACTCATCAGACCACATGATCTTCTTCCACTGCTCCAGAGTTCAATCTTTATGCTCCCTGGCATTTGAAGCCTTTTTTCCAGTTAGCCAATGATTTGACCCTTCTCAAACAGACTGACATCTTTCTACATGGTTGTTTAAGAAATGAGAAGCAACTCATTGAACCAGTTGAGGTTAAATAACTTGTTGCAGCTGAAAGATAATCACCCACACAGTAATTATCCAATGGGAGGCTTGTAACGATTTGATTAGTTAAATATTGGTGCTGACTTTTGATTTTTGGCCAGGCAGTGTATCATCTGCAACCCAGAAAGAAGAAGCAGGTCAAGAAAATGGATGGATCGAAATTAACTCTGGTTCCTTTATAGTCTGTCAAATAATGATTAAGTCTATTTAATCAAAGAAAAGTAATTAAATGGATCTATAATCCTCCTGAGCTCCTCAGACAACTATGGACTTCACCTTCTGTGCTCCATGTTCAGTGTGCTGCACACAACCTAACTACCCAGTGTTTGTTTGTTCCCTTTAAACAGACTGTGTGAAGAAAAGCTTGATTAAAGTCAAACACTTAATTTGAAACATGACTTTAAAGATTGCAAGAGGGCCAAAATGAAAATCTATCCGGGGCTGTGGGCCAAATGCAATAATAAAACAAAATCATTAATAATAATGCAATAATACATGTGTGGTGGAAGTATTATATTATCTCTGGATGACTGCATATTTCCTTGACATGTTCCTGTTCTGTATCTCTTTGATAACTGTTCAGTGTGCAATCTGTTCTCATGACGATGCTGTATGTTCTCTGCAATCTTGTTGTTCTCATGGCCCATATAACTTGTAATAATTTCATTGGCCTCTGTATACAGCGGGTAAAATAAGTATTGAACACCTCACCATCTTCTGCCACAGCTCCATTGGTCTAATGGTCTGTGTCATAGACTTTCATGTTGGAGATCAGGGTTCAAAACCCAGCTACAGCAACTTTAACAAAAAAATCTCTTCACACGTCATATTGTCACACAATTACCTTAATTACAAACACCTGCTGACGTGACAGGCACAAGCTGGTATAGAAAACACATTTGAACTTGGTCAAATTTCATTCTGCAAGTCCAATGCTGCAGGCAAAGCCATGCTGCAATGACATGCTACGTGGCAATGCACACTTGTTTTTACATCGTAAAAACCCATGTCTAGTTAATATTGTTATTCTGTTAGGATAACATTGTGAGAGGTAAATATAATGGACAACAGTAAAATTACCTTTACTAGGCTGAAATGTGTAGATATTACTGGTATGTTCTGTCCAGTCAGCATATAGTATATCCTGTAGTTTGTGATTATATATCAGAGTAAAAAACTCTAATTTTTTTTCCTCCACCGTCTATTTCATAAGCTAAGGAGGGGCCGACCGCATTTATTTTATGACCAGCTGGTGGAATTTGTCTTTAGTCACTTCAGAGCGAATGAACCAGAAAACAAATGCAAAATTAGAATTGTATGTGTCATATATTTATACTGTATAAGTCTAAAGTTACAGAGTTTTTTTACTCTGATATATAATCAGAAACTACAGGATTATACCATTTGCTCACTGGACAGAACATACCAATAATATCTACACAGTTCAGCGTAGTAGTAGTAAAGGTAATTTTACTGTTGTCCATTATATTTACCTCTCACAATGTTGTCCTAACATAATAACAATATTAATAAAAAATATAATAATTTGTTGGAACAGCAAATTTGTCTTAATGTGATGGAAAGGGGCTTCTGCTGTAAATACGTTAGCAAAAACCTATAATGAAAAGTTCTCAGACTACTTATAGATTTATCTCTTGAGCAAATACATATTTTTTACATATCACAACATCGGCAATTTTCTCAGCTTTAATTTAAGCCATATTTAATAGAAATCGGATAAGAAGTGAGGGTGCTATGAATATTTTTGTGACAGATTGACGCGCATCCTGCATTGAAACTACTGTTTTGTTGACATGACTCAATGCATAACAATGGCTCCTATGATGGTGCGTCGCTAGCTATAGCAGCTATAGGCGATGTTCAGTCCAGTAATATAGATCAATGCTTTGTGCTCCGAGAACTCGTCTGCTCTGTGTTTTCTTTGTTGTCTCTATGAACAACATGAGTCCACTCAGTGTGTCCTGTCCCACTGTGCTCCTGTAGTTAAGGTAGGACCTCAGTTTAGTTGGTTAGTTTGTTGTCCCNGAAAGGGGCTTCTACTGTAAATATGTTAGCAAAAACCTATAATGAAAAGTTCCCAGACTGCTTATAGATTTATCTCTTGAGCAAATACATATTTTTTACATATCACAACATCTGCAATTTTCTCAGCTTTAATTTAAGCCATATTTTATAGAAATCAGATAAGAAGTGAGGGTGCTATGAATATTTTTGTGACAGATTGACGCGCATCCTGCATTGAAACTACTGTTTTGCTGACATGACTCAGTGCATAGCAATGGCTCCTATAATGGTGCGTCGCTAGCTATAGCGCCTATAAGCGATGTTCAGTCCAGTAATATCAACTCTTTGCACTCCGAGAATTCGTCTACTCTGTGTTTTCTTTGTTGTCTCTATGGACAACATGAGTCCACTCAGTGTCTCCTGTAGTTAAGGTAGGACCTCAGTTTAGTTGGTTAGTTTGTTGTCCCTCAACCCAGCCGGTCGAGGCAGATGGTCTCCTGTCCTGAGCCTGGTTCTGCTGGAGGTTTCTTCCTGATTAGCAGGGAGTTTTTCCTCTCCACCGTTTGCTCAGGATGGGAGACTGTGATGAAGTGATTCAACACYATCTGCTGGTTTCTTCTTTAGATTGTTWTTTTATGTACAGTGTCTGTTGTGACTTGGCGCTATATAAATAAACTGAATTGAAATTGAATTGTTAGCGCCAAGCTAATACATATTATTACTGGTGAGGAAACAAATTCCTCCTGTTTTCAGTTTATGTCTTCTTCCATCAATCAGAGCTCAACACACTGCAAACACTCTGCTCCACGTGAACAATAGGGCAGGTTCCTGATGAAGTGGCTGAGGAAATCAAAGGAGCGCTGAGGCTTTCCTACCTTTTCATTAACTGTAACCTGGAATCAGACAAAAACATTCTTGATTCATAAAATCAAAAACCCTTAGAGCTGCAGTTTCTGTTGGTCATTTGACGACCATGAAGAGATTTACAGTCAGGTTATAAATCCGGTAACGATTTCTGTAGGAATGTTGGCAATGCCCACCCATCCATCCATCCATCCATTTTCTGTACACGCTTCTTCCTTTTTTCAGGGTTGCGTGGGTCACTGGTG